CTATGTGTCCAACACTTCAGGCAGTCATTGACTGTAAAGGATTTGCAACCAAGTATTAAAACTGACTGTTTAATTGATGATTATGTTAGTTTGTCCAAATACTTATGAGCCCTTAAAGTCGGGGGACTGTGTGAAGAAATGGTTGTCATTCCTACACGGTTCATACTACATTTTTGAAAAAAGCCTTAAATGAAAGCTGAGAGTCTGCACTTTAAGCAGGTATTCATTGTTTCATTTAAAACCCATTGTGGTGGTGTACAGAGCCAAAATGATGATAACTGTATCATTGTCCAAATAATTATGGACCTGACTGTATAGGAACTTGTGACTTGACAAGCAGCTAGACAGTCACTATTGGGGTTTATTGAAGGGTCAGTTGTGAATTATTGCAGATTCAGTTGTAAGAATATTTTCTCACCAGTCATGTCTACCTGCCTTTTTGAAAAAAATTACTGGTGTGAGTTTTTCCATTAGTGCATATAACCGTGTCAATATATCACACAGGACTCCATTGCTCAGTGCATTGTGGGTAGCCCTCCCTACCTCCTCAATCCCCAGATCATCGGTGCAGAAGATGACTACTTTGACTCTCAGCAAGAGCAGGTATCTACTGAAATGTTTTTTAAGCAACTCGTGGACTAATTGGAAAAGAAGTTCATCTATATAAACATTTAAATGTGAAAATAAGGAAACACTATGCTCCCCTGAATGACTGATGTAGTCATCTCAGGCGTCCGAGGGCTCCATGTTTCATTAAATTCAGACTGCTCGTGTGAAGTTATGGGAGCAGTTTGTCATATTGACCCCCCCCCTCTCTCTGTCAGATTAATGGACTGTGTAGCTGTTTCCAGAGTATAGACTCACTGAAGACTCGGCCTGCTCACCTCGCAGTCTTCCTCCATCATGTTGTCTCGCAGTTTGACCCTGCGCCTTTGGTAAATCACACACACACAATACAGACTGAGGTATAATAATAATTAACAGGCAGACAAGAACCGTTATTAATTGTTCCAGTGTACCATTTGCAGGGATGAAAACAGCTCGATATGCGATATACAATGTACGGTATGTGCCGATATTACAAAGCCTGTCACAATACGATTATTATCTGCCCATTTAACAGTCAGTTACAAAAGAAGCTGCCATGCCTTTCTTATTTGCTTTTGGCCATAAAAGATGGAAACAACACATAAATAAGTAACTATAACTGCTTAAGTGTAGTTAAGTTTACTTTGAACTGACTCCATGAACACACATAAAACAGCAAATGGGAGAGAAAAGAGTTCTTTTCATTTCAACCCAAACCATCATCTTTTTCATAATATTTCTGGCCTATCTGGCTGAAAACCCGCAAGGCAAACTTCTCCCAGACTGCCATAAAACATAAACAACAACATAATTTAACATACGTATCAAATTTAGCTCAGTAATAACTGTCAAGGTTCATTGATAAAACAGTTGTTTTTTGCTAGTCACCCATTATTAGCATTAGCCAGTTTACATTGCGGCTAGCGGACATTTTTCTCTACTTATAGCTTAACAAATTCCATGTATTATTTATTCTTTTTCTCACTCATCAATAGTTTAAAAAAGACATGAAACAGAGCAGCTAATGTTGCTGTAGTGAGAAGTTAGTGGAGTGAGATGGCCGTCCAGGCAGGTAACGTTACAACATGTTTTATCTTGTAACGGCATTGTTTATATACGGCATGTGCTCTGTCTATTGACCCCTTTTTTCTCCAAAATCTGAAATATTTCAACACTGCTGATTTATTCCCGAGTAAATAACGTTATCCTCATTGTCTTTCTCTTGGCTGCTTGCCATCTGCCTGCCGCTGTTTGACAGTGACACAGACTTTCAAAATAAAAGCTTATCCTAAGGATGACGATATAGATCGATGTTTTCACTTTGCATCAATGACATTGGATCATTGATCATTGAATTGATATATCAATCCAGATTAATGGATCTTTACACCCCTGGAATATGGCATTAATAAGTGCTTTATAAGGATTCATAAAGAGCCAATATGCTATTAGTATGCATGCTAATAAGCAACTCGTCAATGGTGAATTATGTGAATAATGTAAAGTGTTTACAGTAAATTTTATCTAATGATAAAAGTTGTTTGGAGGACTGACCGTGACATACATAATGACGACTGGAATACAGTAAAAGGCTTTGCCAAAAAAAAAAAAAGAGTAAATACAGTTTGAATGTAAATAAAGTGGGCCATGCATTGATCCTTGTGGAACACCTCTGATCTGAAAAACGTTTCTGAGGCAGTGAAGTCATAAAACAATCTGATATTCTAAATGAGCTGAGGATGTGCACGTTGACAGTATTTTAAAGCTCTGACTGTCTTCTTCCCTCTGTTAGCTTTGTTATCTCTACGCTGACATGCACAAGCAAACCAACTCCAAAGAGAGCCGACGCTTCTTCATGGAATTTCACACACTCTTTATGGATCGAACAGCGGTGGGTTGTTCTTTTACTTTTTCTTCCTCCGTCAATTTCTTTTCTTTTTGACCACATTTCAGACTTATTGAATATTTTCTACATTTGCTGACATGTCTCATTCTTTCTCTGGTTGTCTTTTCCAGAATCTTAAAGTACCAGTGCCAGAGGCAGTTGCGGCTGAATTGGGTAATAGATAGGAAGACACTTAAATGTAATGCAGATGTCTTGAGTGAATTGATTTGAAATGCCTTAAAAATATCATGTTTACAAATGCTTTAAAAATTAAAATCACGTGCAGGGTAACATTACACACAACTTACGAATCAGCTGGCTGCTGAAGCTTGACTTGAACATCAACCACTGATCTCATAATGTAGCTGATCTGACTTAAACTGCTTTATGTTTTTAAAATGTGTTCTCAGTCTTTTACAAAGGATATAGAAGTTATCTGGAAAAAACAAAAGATAAAATGTTCACACTCATATATTTCTGCAGAACTGGTTGATAAATGAACTCACCTCTTCTGCAGCTAGTATTATTATTGTAAGATCTTTGTCTTGTGCTCTGTAAATTTCATGGTGATCTTGATATAGATTAGATATATTTATGTTTATATAAATATGTTTTGTGTACAAAATTGACAGTTTGAGAGTGTGAGATGGAAAGGGTTCAACCTGTAAGGAGCATAAGTATAATCAGTACATTTTATGACGATCTGTCATTAAGGTATTGTTATTTCTTGTGTTTAAATTGACATTTGGACCTGATGGTGGTGCTAAACGAAGGTCACAAAAAACATGAGGAATGAGATACGAATGAAAGCTTTAGAAAAAGCTATGAGTTAGGAACGCAGCACCCAACTTTTTCTCTCCTGATACTGATTCTGATACATCAGCTCAGATTATTTGTTGACACTGAGTACCGAAGAGACACCAGTGCTCTTTTTTTGATTAATGTAAAAATCTGAGTGCATATTAAATCATTTTTGTTTAGGAAAACTTGAGGGATTGCAAAGGTGCTTAAAACTGAGTCTGGGATCCACTATAACTGAACAGGTGTCTGGTAGCGGAAACATTAAATGTTATAACAACACAGACAAAGAAAATGTCAAGATACCATTCAGGCGTTTCAGATCTAGCATCTCAGAATATTTTACCACAAATTAGGAGTCAGGTAAGTGGTTGGGCACACAAATAGATGGATGGTCTTTTCATATGTTATTTTTCCTGCTTTCTTAATCAGTTTCATAAATGCATATGGTTATTTCATTTAACTTAGTTAGAGTTAATGGCTGTGATAACACATTTTTTCTTTCTTTGTGTGTCTCTGCACAGAGAAACGAAGGCTGGAGTTAATCCCGGAGGAGCTCTGCAAACAGTACACCCAGGCGTTACAGGACACACTCCTACCAGACCTACACAAGAACCTGGAGGACTTCAGGTGAGAATTACTCAACCGCATAACCATTCTTTGACAATCAGGGGCGGCTGTGGCTCAGGAGGTCCACTCATTGGAAGATCAGTGGTTCGATCCACGGCTACTTTGCTCCAGATGTCAACATATCCTTAGGCAAGATACTGAACCCCAAACTGCACTGTGTGTGAGTGCTTGTCAATGTTTAATAGATGAGCAGGTGGCACCTTGTATGGTAGCCTTGGCAATCAGTTAATGAATGTGGGTGTGAATGGGTGAATGTGGCATGTAGTGTAAAAGCGCTTTGAGTGGGCAGAAGTCCAAATCCAAGTTCATTTACTGTCAATTTTCCATTCTCACAATAATGATTGAACATGAAAGTTTTCCTGGCAGAAAGCTGTTGTAGGTTAAATGTAACAAGGTCATGTCTCCATATGTTTCCCATGTGAATGATTGTTATTTGTGTGTTTATGTTTATGTTAACGTGTGCAGACAGAAGCGCAGCATGGGTCTGACTCTGGCCGAAGACGAGCTGTCCAAGCTGGACTCAGAGGGAGGAAAAGACCAGCAGGCCCTGGAGAAGGAATGCTCCTGTGCTGAACACATCCTCTCCAAGATAGAGGATATCCTGTGAGTCTCTGAGCACACACACACAAACACAAAGACACATACATGAGCATACTGAAGTCATATTTTCCCTGTGTGATTGTGTGTATGTGCTAACCCGGAGTTGCCTGTTGCAGGTTGACGTCACAGCCCACAGAAGAGGAGAAGTGGTAAGTGAAGGAAGTTTTTTTTTTGTTATGTCATCAGTCAGCTGTAGGAGAGTCTATGTCACATTTATTTTTCAGGAAGTTTTTAGTTTCTGTTCCAGTAATTTGCTGATGAGCTCCTATAATTCTATATCTATAAATCTTTAAGTGTAAATGGGTCATCTCAGTGCTTAAATTTTAATCATATTTACAATAAATTGCATGAAAATACCTCAGAGGACAACACTATGACAAAGTTTGAGTCTCGTTTATAGAGAAAGTTATGTGTGATATAAAAACTAGCTGTACTAGAGGTATTAGGATCATTAGTACGTTGTTGTATAATAACGATATTTGCAGTTGAACCCCACAGATTTGTGTAAATTTTGCCGCACAGTAGATAGCAATAAGATGTTTTTTTTTTCTTGACACTTTTTCCTGTCATGTTACAGCCAAACAATGCAGTATGTGATTCTCACCTATATGAAGCACCTTGGGGTGAAAGCGAAGGAGCCTCGCGGACTCGAACATAAACGAGCACGCATCAACTTTCTGCCCAAGATTAAGGTTCGTTCCCTTGTTCAGAAACAGAAATATGCTCTGTTGTTTTCATGCCCACACATACACATGAAAGCATAATCACATGTGCTTTTAATGGCCTTACAATGCTGCCCTTCAAGTATATATTTAAAAGGGAAAATTGTGTATAATTTTTACCAAGCAGAAGAGTATCAAGCCTGAGAAGGAGGGCGAGGAGAAGGTGAAAAAGCCTCGGTTCCCCAGCATTCTCGGCCCGCCTCGGCGTCTAAGCAGAGTGGACTCCACTTCAGGTGAGGAGGCAACTGAAGTTTACAGTAACCACTGAAACTTTACAGATACCTACCATTAATGCAGAGTGAGGCAACTGGTGATAATCCCAGTGTGTACGTAGATGTTATCAGTGTTTGTGAATACTTGTGTTTTTTCTGCCCTTGCATACACGTGTGTTTGCGTGCAGTCGGTAAGGCCGTGGAGCTGAACAAGCAGCGCTCACCAAAGCAGCTCCCTCAGCCAGCCTTCGGCATCCCTGAGCAGTCCGACTCCTCTGCCTCAAATTCTGGGCGGAGCCGTGGAAATCAGCTCAGTGAGGGATCAGACGCCGGCACACAGTCTTTGCCCTCCACCACCACCTCCCCCACACTTAGCTCACCCATTGGTCAGGCCTCAGATACCAGTGGACACGACTCAGACTCCAGTAAGATATAACGGTTTCTCAAACAAAGAATTGTAGGGATATTATTCGGAAACCAAAGACCTTGAACTGCAACCAAAGACAAAAAAGGAAAATACATTCCTATTTACATGGACTTTGGAACAACATACCAAGTTAGTCCTGACTTTCTTTTTCTCCTCTGTGCTGCACTGCTCTCCTCTTTACTCTACAGATATGTCTCCATTCTGCATCCAGCCCAGACTGGGCGAGGGTCTGCAGCCTGGCGACCACCAGGATGGTGTTTCCAGTCCAACCGGCACTCAGTTTGACTTCAGCCCCTCCAACCTGGAGCAGTTACAGGAGGAAGACCAGGAAAATTTCAGGTATTTACAGGGTTTGGATATTTTTTTTTTTTTTTTTTTGTAGTCCCTCTCTTCCAGGGACCCAAGAGGACAGGTTGGGGTGCTGAGAGAACGTTATTAGTGATGTCGTACAGTACAGACAGAAGCTTGTAACTCTATTTTTAAAACCTTCATACTCTCACAGAGCAAAAGTTGCAAATTCACCCTTTTAAAAAGCCTGAATCAGCACTTTTATTGGCACTATTGCTTGAAAAATGACTCAAATGATTTATCAGTTTTGAAAATAGATGCACATTAATAAATAATTTCAGCTCTACATTGATGGTTGTCACAGTAGGAGAACTTGATGCATGGATTGTGTCAGCTTAAGTAAAGATTAAACATAAATAATGAATGTTCTGCCACTTTAGTGCAATAAATAAAGATTAGCATGATAACTACATCTGTACAATAACCTATAATGTCTCCGTCTGGCAGTAGGATGGACGTGCAGTGTGCAGTGAGTTCAGCCGACATCCAGAGTGAAGACGACCAGGGAGGTGAGGTGGAGTGTGAAGAGGACCCTCTGAACTGGCAGAGTCTGGTCAGCCGAGGCGTCCTGGCAAGTTTAACCCCACAGGAGATCAAACGGCAGGAAGTCATCAATGGTGAGTCCCTCACATTTCACAGACTTCACAGTGTGAACTGAAGATGACAGAAAATATAAATATACAGTATGTCCTCTGTCACTCAGAGCTCTTTTACACTGAGCGCGCCCACCTGCGGATGCTGAAGGTGATGGACTGTGTTTTCTACCAGAGGTTGAACAGAGACGGTATCCTCCCCCCAGAGGACATTAAACACATCTTTATTAACCTGGAGGAAATCATTCAGCTGCATGGTAACGTCTCTCGAACACACACTACTACCCTGAATGCCACTGAGTAAAGAGTACAAATCATAGAATTGATTCGCAAAATATTAATTTTCAACCGTACAAGTGATGATAAAATCTTTCAACTTGTTGTTGCACGCTGTTTTTCTTTCCTAACTTTTTTTAATGAACCCATCCAGTAACACATAAATAAGATGAACACTGATATAGCACTGTAGGTCCAGACACATCAAACTGATCGTTGCCATGTCTGTTGCACATGAACCAACAAGCTTGTATGTTCTCCACCTGCATGAGAGGATGCATACTTCTCCACACCATCAGATGGCAGTTGTTTGTCATTGTCATTCAAAAAGGGAAACTGTAAGCCATCATGATGCTAGTTAGCCAGTTAGCACATTAACAACACAATCCGATACTGAAAAAACAGCATATTTACTGTGCGCCAGTGAATAGTATGACAAAGCATAAGGAACATTTCTGCGAAAGAGCTCAACAGCTAAAGAAAAAAAAACCTGACCTCATATAACAACTATATAACAATTATAACATGGAAAAAGACCAACTAGCACCAACAAGGGTCAACAATGGGTGGCACACCGCACCAACAAGGGCAGCAGATTTTGACCCACAGCCAACCGTTGGCTTGGTGTGTCGGTGTGCCTTGTGATTACAATTACAATGTTTTCGGTTCAAGCTGCATCATTTTTACAGTGCAAGATGTTCTGATACTGAATATAGAAGGAATTTAGGTTGCAGAAATCATTATTACTTATTGAATTACTTAATATTATTACACACACACACACACATACACACACACACACAACCATACAAGTAAACATGCTTGCCATATTTAAAGATACATCATGCAGGACTTACTTGCAGGATCGCGATGCAGCTCAGGTAATGTTTAGACTTAACAAAAAGGTAGACCAGGTGACCAGGTGACCAGGTGCCAGACCATAAGCAGCAGGCATCCAACAGGAAGCTACAAAAACTGAGGACACGATGCTCTTCACAAGCATATTATGACTATAATTTATTATTATTACGAGCAAATTTGGATTTTAACTCCGCAGTCAGATTCCCAGACCATGCTGACATACTATACCTGCTGTACGTATGTAACATGACAAGTTCTGTAGGTCACCTTATTTTCTTTGTCTGTCCTTGGATATTTTTTCCCTGTTGCACCTTTACAGTCACTACTGTTTTGTTTTTTGCAACAGTAAAATGAAAAAAAAAGAAATGAAGCGCAATGATCCAAATTGTCAGTGGCAACAGCAACACAGAGAAACTGAATGTTTCAGAATTTCCTCTCACTTTGCTCCACAGTTTTTGTAACAGAGCAAATGACAGCAATCAGGAAGAGGAGTGAGACGTCAGTGATCGGTGAGATCGCAGATGACCTCCTGGCATGGGTAAGACCAGTTTCAATTCACGCATCGGGCAGATTGAAAGCTTCAGCACAGGGTGAAGTGAAATGTTGGCACATCTTTATGATCAAAAGACAGCTGCGAGAGAGGACGATAAGTCAATTACAATATGACGAATCAGGCTCTGTGGTTCAGTACGCACATTTTCATATGTGAGTTCATAGACTGATGATGGATAAAGAGCTGAGGAAATATACATAATCCTGAATTTATCAATACAACAGGTGAAGTTGTTAGTTTGCAATAACAGCGAACAGCATTAACAGCAAATAATGATTGCTTGTATATTATCTTAGTTTATTTGACAGACACACTCATTCATCAACAGAAAAAAGGTGATGTAACAATTGCTAGTCATACCGTTGTATACATTCAGGTTGCTCTGGGTAAAACAGGGTGTCTAACAGTTCCTTAAAAAGTTAGTCAATGGTCTTAAATTTGAATTTATGACATCTTAACTACTACAAACATTTTGTCTAATTTCATTTATCCATTTTTTAATTCCTTTTTGTGAAAATGGGTGAAGCCTTTCTATGTAACAGTCCACATTTCTAATGTTACAAATCTTTAAAGAACTAAAGACTGTAATTTTGCTTCATACTTGGACTTAACTGTTGGCAAAATGTCCATAACACTTAACTCTGCACAAGACCATATATATATACGGGTCTTAGCATTAAGCTTAACTGCCTGATACCTGTAGACACCTTGGTAAAAATGTCAGCAGCAGTAAATACTGCAATAAATACAAATATGAATGTGCTGTGTTTGTGTATTGATTCCAGTTCAGCGGAGAGGAAGAGGAGAAGATCAAAAGAGCAGTGGGAACTTTCTGTAGCAACCAGCCGTCTGCACTGGAGCTCATCAAGAGCAAGAAGAAGAAAGACCAGCGGTTCACTTTATTCATGCAGGTCAGAAAACAACAGAGTACAGTAAACCACAGTCCACTGTCAGGAGAAGGGTTTAATATGTGCTGAGGAAATCATGATAGATCAAACATACAGCAGGAGATGAGTTGACAGAGAGTGACAGTTGGATTTGATGTATAATGTATTTTAATCAGAAGGAAGTCTCAACATTCTCTCTTTATATTAGTTTGAATTCTTACATTCAGGAAAACAGGCAGTAGTTTGGCTTTTTAGAAAAGCGTGAATAAGAAATATATCCATGATGATGAGACAGTGAGTGTGTAAACTAATTGTGTAATGATAAAGAAAGTTCAGAAATAACACAAGCAACACCAGAAGCCACACAATGGTTTGAGTTGAAGGTGTGAGAAAGAATAGTATCAGTAACATTGTTAACACTGTGCTACATTACAGAGAAATACAAAAGCGTACTAATGAACCTTCATTAATATAGGCCTATATTTTATCTACAAGTGCACGTCACACACTGAGCGAGCCGCCTGTTAATGACGCTGTGGGCTAATGGGCATGTAGCTACTTCCATGTTTCAGATGATACGTCATGTTTGTAGTCGACCAATGAAGATGAGTTTACATATCACCTTGGGTTCGTCCTTCACCTTCTCAAAATGATCCCACACTTTGGATTTCCTGCCCGACATGTTATTAACTAGCCTGTGGAATAACCGCAGGTACCAGCCCTGGAAATTAACCTGAGTCCTGTCTGACTGCTGAGTGTGGCCTCTTCCTATGTCTGTCCTTTCAAATTAAATTCCCACATGGTCCAGTTTATTTTGACAAGGCGCAGCTCCTTCTGCGATTAAGCAACCAATTAAATCTTGCTGACTAATGACCTTTTTGGTCGACTAACGTTTGCTCGACTATGAAGGGGCAGCCCTACTTTCATGTCTTTCTTTTGGCTCGCAATGTGTTTTAATCTGTGCTAATCTGTCGTTAGAGTTACCTTATTGTTTTTCTTTCAGGAAGCTGAGAGCAACCGTCTGTGTCGCAGGCTGCAGCTTAAAGACATCATTCCTGTGGAGATGCAGAGAGTCACCAAGTACCCACTTCTGCTGGAGAATATTGCCAAGTACACAGGTAATTAAACTAACTAACTAAACTGCACAGGTGTTGATATAACTGCAGGCCCTTGATTTATCAGGGATCTGGATGTTGTGCATCAAGCAGCTGTTTGTTATGTATGTTTATACCCTCACAGAAGATGGCGAGGAGAGGGAAAAGGTGAAGAGGGCTGGAGAATGTTGCAAAAAGATCCTCAACCACGTCAACCAGGCTGTCAGAGAGGCTGAGAACAAACAGGTACACACATTTGAATCATTGTAAAATATATATATATGTTAGGGTTAAAGCAATACTTGAGTTTACGCTCATGGTTTGGGGATTTTTTTTTAAAGATTAAAACCAACGTAACAGCTAAAAAGTACATTTTTGTGCTAATTTCCAGGGTTTACAAGTGTTTAATGAGTTGTGTTGTTTCTCAACAGAGGCTGGAGGATTATCAGAGAAGGTTAGACCTGTCATCACTCAAACAGAGTGAAAACCCCATGATCTTGGAGCTGAGGGTAAGAAACTGGTTTTGAAGTTGTAAATGTACGCCTGATGCTTTATGGTCCCTTCTTGTTGTACACTCTGGACCTATATCTAGTCAAGGGAAGATGTTGAGGGTTATCAATGAAGCTGTTTGTTGTATTTTTTATATTGAAAGTTGATTCTTGTCCTGCAGAATCTGGACCTGACCAAGAGGAAGATGGTGCACGAGGGACCTCTCTCCTGGAAAGTCAATAAAGACAAGACAATTGGTACACACACTCACCTGTGTGCGAGAGTAACATTTACAATACAAGAAGTCAGGTTACAGTTTTATATCACCAGTGTCATCCTTTCAGAGCTGTACACAATCCTCCTGGAGGACATCCTGGTGTTACTGCAGAAACAGGACGAGCGTCTGGTCCTCAAATTCCACGGCAAGAATCCGGCCAGTGCCACCGACACCAAACACATCTTCAGCCCCATCATCAAACTCAACACTGTCCTGGTTCGTCCTGTGGCAACTGGTACGAACTACGCTCACTCCAAAATACTTCATATTATGCATTTTGCAGTGCACTGTATCTTTATGGTCCACTTGTTAATGACCGAATAGCTGCAAAACTCATCAGCCTCAGCTGTACTTTGTGTTTGGTGCAATATAGCATGTTTAGCAATGTTAGCGTGTAATCAGTGTTGCATTGTTGTCGTCATCAGACAACAAGTCTTTCTTCGTGCTGTCCATGTCTGAAAACGGGGCTCAGATCTACGAGCTGATGGCTCAGACGGTGTCCGATCAGAGAGCGTAAGTCTCGCACCACAAACAAACTTCCCGTCACCTGTTTCCTGTGTCTCATCCTGCTGCTGTATCACCTCTGTCCTTGCAGGTGGCAGTGTCTGATCACACAGTGTGCTGACGCCATGAAGGCCAAACCTCACAACAGAGACAGACCTCCAGCTCAGTCTGAGTGAGTCCACTAACTGCAGCTCCTTCACTCACTGATACTGGTGTTTTTGTATTGTTTCTAATTTGAGTGTGTTTCAGTGCTGAGCGAGACGCTATTGAGATCATCAAAAGTGGGATGCCCAAGGCGAGCAAAGATCCTGACGGCACATCAAGTGGAAGCATCCATTCTTCAGGTACTGTAGCTGTGGTTGGATGAAGGTTCTGTCAGTAATGAACAGTGTTGGGCAAGTTACTAAAAATTTGTAATTAGTTACAGTTACTAGTTCGTTTTTTTCTTCAAAGTAATTGAATTACTTTACCAATCACTGCATATAAAAATAATGATTTACTCAGTGTTGCTGTCGAACAGTGGGACAAGACAACTGTCAAATTTTATCTGTGTTTGTTCCCGTTATAACTGTGATGAACAAGTGGCACAAAAAAACAGAATACATATTTGCACACATTTAGACATTTGACAGTAATATCTTCATCATGATAGGCCTTATGAAAAACATAAATGCACTGCGGTTTATCCTTTAACCTTAACAGTAATTCATATCCTGCACTTAGACTGCAACTCACCACTACAAGCATATATATCCTTGATCTCTGTGAGGGAAAAATAACGTCCAGATTTCCAGGGCAGCAGTGCCCAAATTGTTGGCAGTTGTGTGCAGTCGTTACCGTCTAATGCTGATAGACTGATTGACTGATACACTTAAGTTCGGGTCACTAATGATGCATTAGTCCATCTGTGGGTCCTGCAGCATTCTGAATAACATTAAGATATGACCAACCTTCCACCTTCTCCTCCCCTCCTCCCAAACACACAACATTAAATCAATTATTATCTTAAATCATATTAAATATAACTGGGGAAAAATCTGGTGAATATGCTGTTTTCGTCTGCTATGATCGAGACAAAATTAACAAATAAGCCCATTTAATATTCAATAATTGTAATTGTGTTATTTATTTTAAAAAAGTTAACAATTACATGTCTAGTTGCCAACAAAAGTACTTGGATTACAGTAGCACGTTACGTTCTCATAAAGTTCTTTGAAACACATTACTCCCAACTGGTGCTGAAACATTCAGTTTATTATTAATTTGATTTACCAAAAAAAAAAAAAAAAAATTCTCTGTTTCATTCTGAACTAAATATATTTTGACTTTTGGATTCAAGATGTCACTTTTTGTGCCTAAACTATTTTCTGACAAACAGAAACAAACAGCCTGGTCATTCATATTTTGCACATCCCTGTGGAAAAGTGTACAACTCTTTAATTTTTACACCGACATATTTTTATGGTATTTTTTTTTCATATTTTTATTGTAATTTCTCAAATCTTTATTTATGTTTCTTTTGCAGTTTTGGAGTATGTCCTTTTATTTTAATTTTCTCTTAATGTGTTAACTGTTAAGCACAAAACATCAGTTCATTGTATTTTAAAACCGTTTTGGCCATAAACCTAATTCTGAATCGGTTTTTAGACTAAATGGTGCATTAATTGAAGAATATACTGAAAAATGAATGAATATAATAATTAAAATAATCATTGTCCATCAAGAGCTTCAACAACAACACAAACTAACTTCATCTCCATCAGTTTCCTCTGCAGGATGTTTGATTCTGAACACTCATAGCTTGAATGTTTTACAAAAAGTATTTGATATTTCACATCAGATTAAAAACTGAAATATGAACTCAAATCTCAATCCATCCCAGATAAAGATGCCGCCTCTTCTCCAGACATTCAAGTGCCACAGAGTATCAACCCGTTTGATGGGATGAAATCAGAGGACGAGGAAGAGGAGCTGGTTGTGGCAGACCGACAGGAGGAAGACGAGGATGATGAAGAGGTGGATGAAGCAGAATTAGAGGCTTTCCTGGACGGGCAGCTGGCAGATGGACTGCCCTTCCTACAGGAAGAGTCACGTCAGGGCATCGCTATTGAAAACCAAGAGCACGAAGCGTTCGGGGTACCCTCCTCTAAAGGGGAAGAAGCTCTCAGGACGTGTAAGTCAAATGTTAAAGGGTCAATTCACCCAAATTACAAAGACACATTTTATCACTTACCTCCAGTGGCATCTCCACAGGCAGATTTTTGAGATTGTAAAAGATTTTGAGATGACATTTACATTAGAAAATGACACATTTCTCTCCGTCCTAGTGGCGATGCTGAAGCAGGCTCTTTTCAACCACATGATAAGCAGAGAGACCGAGGAGGAGAAAGAGGAGACACAGGAGAGCAAGCAGAGTGCCTCTGTGCCCGCGAGCCCCGAGGGGCCCCCTGAGAGCCGAGCGTCTGCAGGTTCACAGAAAGAAAACCCTCAGCTTCCGTCAGGACACACAGAGCTGTCTGAGACGCCTGAACGTAACGGTGAGAGAATCGTAAAAAAGTTTTCTGTGTGGATCTTTGTCTGGTGTACTGAAGGATTAAAGGAATAGTTTGACATTTTGGAAATTATACTTATTCACAGTCTGGCAAAGAGTTTGATAAGAATTGATACCACACGTATATATGCTTGTTAAGGCTACATTCAGCAGCCGGTTAACTTAGCTTAACTGTTTAACAAAGCCAGGCTAGCTTTATCCTCTTGTCTCAAGTCTTGGTGCTGAAGCTAAGCTAACTGTCTGCTGGCTGACAGATATGAGAGGTATCAAACTCAACAAGTGTATTTCCTGATATGCTGAGTATTCATATAATAGTTTTATTTCTAACAACTGTAGAAATATTTTTGAACTCTTCCACCTGCTCTGCTTCTCCACCCAGGTGGGTTTGTGGTTCTGGATTTTGGTGGAGAGGAGAGCAGCACTGATGATGATGGAGGAGTCGGAGGTGATGTGGGGATCGACATGAGCAAGCTACTGTCCTCCTCCTCACAGGCAGGGGGCAGCAGTGGCCCCAACCTCAGCAGGCAGCTCATGACCCACCTACGCCTCCTGCAGGCCGACCTGCAGTATCTGAAGGTACTGCGCATGTAACCGACAGCATGTCTCAGCTCCTCTGACACACACACACACACACACACACACAGTCACAGACCAGACACGTAGTGGGAAATCCCAACTGGAAGTAGTCGACCTCATAGTGGACACAGATGGTCTGATTGTTAATATGATGCTTGTAGACCTGCAGAGATGAGCATGATGAGCATATTTCTGCACAAAAAGGCACAAAATGGTTCGTCTTTATTTTGTGTTTCACCGTTGTTGTTTTTTGCTGGCTGACCAGAGTTATTTTCGGAAAGCTGAGAAACCAGAATTTCTGGGGAATTCTCGTCAAAATCCGTTTCATTTTCCTGTGAAAAATACCTGCAGGGTCCTGGGATTTTAGCTTGTCTGTGCTCATGACGGGACCTTATATACGCTATCACGCTACTGTCGTAGTTATATATCTGTTATAATAGTACTTTGACTGTCTTGCACTATAGTACTTCTACTGAACAACTACTTGTAGTAATTGTAGTTTACAGTTCAGTCTTGTGCAAAATATTTTTTAAGATTAAAAGAATGCCTCCCAACAGTATACGACTGGATAAATGAGACTTTGATTATACTGTACGAGTTGTGTGAGAGTTTGTGAACAGATGTTTTTATATAGTTTTGCTGTTTTAAATGCAAACCCCAATGACCTCAATTCGTAAAGATTGTTGGCCTTTTTTGGATTCTCCCTTCACCATGGAGGTGTGAGAAAAGAACAGTTTTCTTCACAAATTCAAGGTAACACGGGGTGGGTAATTGATGTAAAAAATGGTGCATCGTCTGCGTAGCACATCTCTAGCAGGTTAAATATCTTCACCCGTCGGGGACCTGTTGGTGAACCACAGCCAATGAGAGTGCTATCCACGGGTTGAGGGGAAATCTCGGGAACGGGAAACTTTACTGTATGTATTGTATTTGCAACGTAGACCAAAGTTGTTGTTGCACCTGAAGGAATCAGGCTATTTTGGGAACAGGTGTGGCAACGACAACAAAAAAAATCCTGTCTCGTGCAAGGTATTAAGTCATTTCCCGTGTTACTCCTCACGTGTGCTTTTTTGGAGACCAGACATACTCATCGATTATCCTCCTGGTGGAAGATCTTATCTTGTGTGACTCCCTGTCATAGGTCATATAGTGTGAAAACCATGATGACTTTAAGACTCCTGATTACAAGACAGCAGGTTGTGTAGTGTGAGCAATACAGCACTCTGAAAGCAGTGTGAACTTGGCATAACAGAAATAAAAGATTAAATGAAATATAAGAGATTAATTATCTATAATTTTGTTTCTTAAATCAAACTTTATTTATGTTAAGAAATCCCAGGAGTCCACGGAAAGGAGTTATATATTCTGGGGAAGTAATATTTTTGTAATCACGGAAGACCCTAACCCGAAGCAAGACATATAACACAGCATATAACTAGCGATGTGCACGATTAGACGTCTAAACGATTAAACGTCCGCCCCCTCGTTAGTCGGCACCAGAAATATTAGTTGGTAAAACCAATTGGTGTTTTGTTTTTGTACAAGGCCGCTTAACTGTCATGCAGCCGCCCGCCACTAGTGGGTGCTACAGAGCCATCAGACAGCAGTCCCCCTTCCCGCGGTAATGCTTGAGTAGACTGGAGTTTTAAAACAGCATGGTGGGAAATTGGAGAGATGTCCTCTCACAAAACCAGCGCGGTTTGGCTGAACTTTGATCTAGAAAAGGAATCCAGCAGCAATTAATCTTTTTTGAGACGTTATATTATTTGTTAACTTTGAGTGAGTTGTTGTCAGATAATGTGCAGGTTTACATTCATACTGCACGGAGAAAATGCCTCATTTCAGCTGAAATTTAATTATAATTTAGATGTTTTATTAACTTAAAAGTGAATTGCTATCATTTCTGTCAGATAATCTGCAAGGTTCAAGGTGCCCCACATTTTAGAGGCAGTTTATTTATTTTAGATGTTATTTTAGTGGTTAACTTTTGACTGAGTTGTCGTCATGTTCACATTCATACCGCATGGTGTCTCGCACTTCAGCGGCATTTAAAATCCGACATGGTTGTTGAAGATTGTGATTAAAGGCTTCAAAGGGCTCTTAATGCACACAGTAATTTTGGGACAATGTTTCAAATACTTAACAATAAATTGTGCTAAATTTTGACTGTTTTCTGAGTGTTTTCCCTTTTTTAGACTAGTCCACTAGTCTTGATTAAAATTTTCATTTAGTTGCCAGGAACATCCCTACATATGACCATCGTCACTAGATCATCTTTTGGCTCCTTCATTTTAGCATGCACGCCACATTTCTTTTGTTTCGCTGTCTGTTGAACCACAGTGAATTCTGTTGTGATGATTTTTTTCCAGGAGTTGGAGATGAAGTACAACGAGCTGCGACAGACAAACAGTGACATGGCGACTGACTCTGACGACAACAATGGTGTGTTTCACTTCCCTCACTAACTTTAAACAATCAGCTGAATGAATCCACATCAATCTGTTGTACATTTACAATAAAATCTCAAACACTTTCTTTTGATGTTTTTCAGACGGGATTCAGTGATGAAAAACTTCACTCTCTCTCGGTCCTGTGAGTTTTTAGTGCCACTCCAGACACTTTCTTCCGGATGAATCTTTGACTGTTTATCACTGGTGTCGCCCGACAATGGAGGCTTAATGTCAGATCTCCCACTTCAGGCATGAATCAGTGGAGGACATTATCACCCACTATAAACTCAAAATCCCTCTGAGGAGAGAGACTGTGGAATTACTCGTGGACAATTCAGTCACTTTTTGCTATAATGATAAGAATAATCAACTGCATAAATTATCTTAAACACTGGAGATATGAAACAGAAAAAGGGGCAAAGTCGAGTGTGCGAAGTCTCACGGATGTACAGCAGAGATTAACAGACATTAAGTAATGGAAAGAGACAATGAAGACTGCGACCAGAACGATTCTCTGAGGATCATAAGGTAGACGGTCTTATTCAGGTTCACTGCTGTAAGCTTGATATAAAATTCTGCAATAAGAAATGAGAGACAGCCTCTCCTGTACATATTCATCCCAGCACTCCGCATGCTTCAAGGTAGACTTTCTTTTTTTGTAACAGCACTAAAAAGCAACACTTAAATTTTTTTTACATTTGGCAACATGCACAAAAATACGATAGAAAGATACTGCTGCATTCATCCCTAGCATCCCCAAAAGTATCTTTGTGTTTTATGTTGTTTGTCTTTAGCCTAGCTCGGCACAAAACTGGAACTGCGGACAAACAGCTAGCCTTAATATATTCCTCTAAAGTTCACGTTGTATCTTATTTGTTTTATCTGTACACAAACAGAAATGTAAAAATTAAGTTTATGGTTTCAGGAGGATTTACTTGCTGGAACTATTTATTTTTGCCGAACAACAGCTGACTGTGTACAGCTTTGTTGTCAAAAGACACGTTTGGTGCCATCATAACTGCACAGTGGCCAAAACCTGTGCTCACCGACCGTATATGGTAACCCGTGCTATAGCTGAGACGACAGATAGATCCAGCCAGGGTTGGAAATTTTTTTGTCCATCTGCCACTGTGGCTGATGGATTCCAAAATCTGCCAGCCACTTAATAGATTACCATTGGGGGTTTTTTTGGCTGGGGAATGAAATAAATCTAGCAACCTCTTGCATATTTTACCAGCATTTGGCTCGTGGCTGGTGCTCATTTGTAACCCTGGATCCAGCATGTAACTCCCACTACAACCACAGAGTAATTTAAAATTTACATTTCTGTTCTAGGGACACATGCTGTGTCTTTAACCGCCTGGAAAACGCGAGATTGGTTGTTGCTTGAGTCAGTTTTTGAGTGCGCCTTTTGCATGTATACATTTTTAAAAAATGGATCTGAGGGTGCAAAAAAACACTGCATGTGTATGAGAACTTAGAGGTGTTTGTAGGCATGTTTTGTAACTTTTACGGAGCCAGGCTGTCTCCCACTTTTTCAGTCTTTGTGCTAAGCTAGGCTAACCATGTCCAGAATCCAGCTCCGCACTTGACACACAGACATGTTAGTGATATTGATCTTCTCACCTCACTCTTGCAAAGAACGCAAATAAGCATATTTCTCCAAACTGTTCATTTGTCAGGTATTCCTGCAGTAGTTATGAGGGGCTTGTGCACGTAAAGTTTTTTTCCAGGTTGATAAACTGAACACGTCAGAATTTGCAAAGCTGAAGTCTGACTTCCAGTTTCTGTTTGTTCAACCAAATCGTCAGAAAATATATTGGCATTGGACACTTCTGAAAACCATGGATATGTAACATTTGCACACTATTGTGTTGTGGATATGTTGAAACTTTACATTTCAACAGTGCTGTGATTAACTTGTGGGTAAAAAAATCACTTGGTTATGCTTAAGAAAAGATCATGTTTTGGCTTGGATTACCTGGTTTTGCGGCACAGTCCTGTAAAAAAACAGCTGCTTTTTCTGCCCACAAGGTTGGCAGGCATCTCCACTCGGTGATCCACCATTCCCTATATCATTTTACAAATGTTGATATGATACCTATAAAATAGCGCTTCCCAAACGGTGGGTCACCGTCCAAGAGTGGGTCGCAGCTCCATTCTGAACGGACTGCAAGTGACTTTATTTTGCAGTACAGTGAATTTTTGGCACTGAGCTTTTATTTTGAAGTGCAGTTTCCTGTAGAGCGAGTGACTAACAGACAGCTCCTTGAGAGAGTCTAGACTAACTAGATAGTTAGATATGGTGCTTGAAAGTAGAAATTTAAGACTGTATTAAATAAGGAATGCTGGAAAATATAAAACATAAAAAGCACAATAAGCTGGACGACATGGTCAAAGACGTGTGATGCTGAGTGTGTTAAACCGCGTGGACCTTCAACTAATGACTAAAGAGAAATCTGGATCCTGTGGCTGCACCAGTTGGGAACCATTGATATAAAACATACAAACGTAGCACATTCATGGTTTGCAAAAGTGCACAATGCCGACACTTTCTTCTGGCGACAGGGCTGGTTTGGTTGTGGGTTGTTTTCTTGGTTTGAGTGTCTGAGCAGAAAACAGTTTTAAATTTCCTAGAGAGCACTTGTTTAAAGCACCAAATTTCAGCCAAAGTCAGAACGACGACGAGAGGGATGAACAGACAGAAGGAAAGGTAAAACACAACCTCCTTGACATGTTTGTGTGCAAGAATCCGAATGTGGCACTGTGCATTACAACTCTGTTTCTTATTCGTTGTATCAGAAGTACCCGGTAGGCTGCAAAATACTGCAGCTATAAAAAGATTGATACACGTTGTGTGTAACTGCTGGTTTTTTTGCTGAAGCACAGTTCACTAAATAATAGTCACTGTGAGCTTTTCAGAGTGTGTGCACATGTGAATTTATTGAACTGAATTTTATTCTAGAATTTATTTTCCATTTGTTTTCTTACTTCCACCGGCCTCCTGACGTTGTGCACAGTGAGGCGATTGACTAACCTGAGTGCAGTTTTTCATCTCTGTCGTTCATCACCCAACACTAAAAACCACTTTAATCTTTATTCCTCTGAATCACTCAGAGAAGGTTTTCCTCCAGGATGATTTCTGCGATGGGCTTCTCATGAAAGCTGTCTTCAGCTTGTAACACCCATCTGTTAGGTACAAAGATTGACCCATCAAACATCTGCACTTCACTCTAATGGTCGGACTGAAAAAGACTGAAATATTCTCTCGCCACAGGACTGCACAGACGACATTATGGCTTTGATTTTTGGATGAAATATAACGAAAAAAAAGAAAAACTGAAAAGAATATATAGACACAGAGAGATTGTTATGGACTGTTTTCATTGTAAAGGAATATAATGTACAATTATGACTGTATATCAAAGGTTTTGTGTGTTTTTTCTACACCGTGCGATCATGTAATGTTTTAACACAAACTGCTTAAAAGGAGGATGAAGTATCCACGCAGCATTAATCTGTTTTATAAATGTTCTATTGAAAATGTTTTATTTTTATTACATTGTTATTAACCCTGTTATTAACATGTCTGCTGAGAACACATATCGCTCCTTTTAGTGCAGAGATTTAAAGCTGAGCTGTTGTTAAAAATGAAGGGGGAAAAGAGAAATTTGAGTTTTAGTTGGTCTTTTGTGGGGAGTGGGGTTTGTCCATCTTTTGTTGGGGACTATTTTTGGATGCGGATTAATACACATTTGGTGCTCCAGCGCCCGACCCTGGGCACGAGGACCCTCTGAAGATGAACATGAGGGGTCGTGAGATGATTGACAAGAAGAACAAAAACATGTACATATTTTTGGACATTTCTCTCTCTGTTTATCTCTGTTTTTTAATAGGTAAACCCTTTGAAACCTGAGCTCATTGGCTTGATTTCCCTCAAAAACATGGGAGGAAGGTAATGAGCAACAAAAGAGGAAACAACCCCAAAAATTAGCAAGAAATTTGAAAAAAATAAAAATAAATAAAATTTAAAAACAAGAAAATTAGTGGGGAAAAAAGGAAAACAAAAAAAAACAAAAAAAGAAATGACCTGGAAAAAAGTGCTTAAAAATTATAATAATTATGTACCAAAAATTTAAACATGTAATAATAATGATTATAGATGTAATTTATCCCTAGCTTTTTTCTTTGTTCACCATTTTTTAAAAATAATTTTCTAAATCTAATATTTTTTTTGCAGTTTGTGGGACATTTCTCATAGGTTGCTCATGGCCTTTCTTACCGTATTTTTTTTAAAGCAATCGCACCAATGTGCTCAGGTTTCAAAGGTTTAAAAACTTGCAAAAGACGTGTGAAAGCAGCACAAGAAAAGTGATGTCGCTCCAGGTTTCACAGGGTTAATCTCCTCAGGGGCCTCATTACAGAAAATTCTTACATCTGAAATCCTATCTTATCTCAGTTTAAGATGACATTTAGGATTTTTTGTATCACAAAAAAAAACATGGTTCTTCACTGCATTAAGAAAAAATAAAATCCTCTCATTTTCAAACAGAAATTTGCTAACTGAGGGATCTCACATTAGGAATCCTAAATTAAGACGGCATAAACCCTGTCCTAAATAAACAACAACCGTGAGGTCTGTGAGACAATGACAGTGAAATTTGGTAACAACACGAACACTGAAATATAATTATTGAAACTCTATTGAACCGTGTGACGTTTGACATTTCCCAGACCATGTATTAATGGATGAAAACTGCCATGGCGATTAATTACTACCGGCCACGACTGTGTGTGTGTCATTGTAGAAAATTGTGTTCCCCATGACACCTATTTTAGCAGAAACTACCACATAGCTGGGAAGTATTTTGCAAGGTGTTTATCTGTCTGTCTGAGTACAGGTTTTGTCAACGCAATAACATCACAATTTTACATCCACTACAGTTCTCTAGCTTAAGAAATGACAGGGAATTAGGTAAAGGATAGACAGTGTTTTTATTACACGACGTTCGACATACAATCTATATTCTCCCACCTCATCCTCCTCAGGATTGGACCCACAGCTATCAAGGCAGGGTTTAAGTTCCAATGTCACACCAGTGCACACTGCAATCAATACGTCTTGCACTTGAAGTGCTGACACCGTTCAGTATTTTCCACTTGTGATTATCTTCACTGAAAACACCTGGAGCCTGCCTGAACGTCGGACTGGGTTTAACCTGAGTGAGTCGGTAATTAGTGGGTCATCCCTATGTTCCCAGGGTTCTATGTTTGCCGGGTTCTATGTTACCCACTTAACCCTGCAAAAAAGGTTCTATGTTCCCCGCTTACACAAAAAGGGTTCTATGTTTCCCACTTGGTTGAGCGGGCGACATAGAACCCGGGAAACATAGAACCTTTTTTGTGTAAGTGGGGAACATAGAACCTTTTTGCAGGGTTAAGTGGGGAACATAGAACCCTGGGAACATAGTTACGCTCCCGTAATTAGTGGGGGAAGCAGGCAGATAAAACAAACAAAATTTAAAGAAAGAAAACGAGTCCACCTCGAGGGCAACACACATTTTTTTTGCCTGAACTAGACAAAGAACAATACCAAACCAAACAACGTAAACGGTCCCACAGCAAGAGCAGCTAATGGACCACTGATGCTCTGCAGACACAAATGGATAATCTTAAAAACACTTTATTACAAAATATTAAAATGCATTCGAAATAAATGTTAAAAAACTACATGGCTAAAATTCAAAATACCTGGTACGTAGATCTACTTTCCTACCGACTACCAGCTGCCTTAAACCCAGCAGAGAAGCAGGTCTGAATTGATTAGTGCCTCCAACTTCCCATTGCTAAAATCGAACGCCTGTCTTTTTTGTGGTAGCAGTCTAGCTGGCCAGTGACCAGTGAGAGCTATTGATACAGTATTATGGTTCATCCATCTCAAGTAGCCTACCAGTACAATCTAAACATAGATATACAGGCATGACAGGACGGGTGAATCAAATTTACAGTTTGAATTTTTGAAGTTAAGATAAAAAAAAAGACATCTAAGACAGGACAGGACACAGCCATGGATTAAAAAATTGCTTGTGTAATAGGAAGACATGATTTATCCTATCTTTGAAACTTCAGATAAGAGGATGAGTAAAGATATTTTTCTGTGATGAGGCCCCAGGCCGCTTAAAGTGAAGTTAAACAACAGTAGAAGGTGACAATCCCTCTTTGATTTAATTACAGACATGCAAACTTTGATGAGGGTCTTTGAGTTGAATTGTTTCAAAAGGTAACAAGCCAAAAAAAGTTGGGAACCACAGGTTACTGCAGAAAGCTGGTATATGTGGGATTGAATACAGTAACTAAACTAAGTAACAAACTGCAACATTTGGTCACTTCTATTATTTTAATACAAAACATTTTTTTCCACCAAAGCTTTATTTTGACATATGAACTTTCTCACTCCTTTTATACATCACACAGTTTGTAGCAGATCATTGAGGTGCAGCTGAAAACATTTTTATTGTAAAATAAAAGTGAACACAGGTTTGGTGGACTGAGGTTAAGTTAAAAATATGGTAGCTACATGAAAATTATCCCTAGTCCCCATGATGCCTTGCGTGAATTATGTGTGCAGCTTCCGGTGTTGAACCGAAACTGGTGATTTCCAATGGTGACAGTTTGTTTACAGTTCTCTATTTTTCTTTCCAAGAGCGATTGGGAAATAAAACGTGGAACACACCACCTGTTATAGCTCAAACAGGATTATGTGATCATACCTCTGCCATCTCTGACAACCATCTCAAAGCAACCGAGCACGCTAACAATTAGCTCACCTTGCTCCAGTAAAATACTGTTCACTTTAACATGGCCCGAGCTAGCTTAAGGTAACATCTGCTCCTTCTAAAAAGGATTTATGATTTCTCCAAACCTTCTTGGAATCAGGGTTGTTGTACATATAATTCAATATGTATAACTGATGTACTGATGCCACAGCACCTTTAGAACTACAGAAGCTTGGAGGCAGCACACACATTTTAAAAGCCTTTGTCTCTCTTACCCTTCAGTCACTTTTGTCTGAATGTCCGTCCAGTTTTTCTGAGCTGATTTCCTTCAGCTTGTGGTTCTCTCGCCACCTTTTATACTTAGCTCTACTTTTCTTGTAGCCAAACTTGGCGATGTCCACCATGAACACCCAGGCGAGTCCATACATGACCACGCCACCAAGCTTCATGATCAGTGTGGTCCTGGGAGAGGTTAGCTCACAGTAAAACATGACTGTGCCAACTCCCACGCGCACGGTGGCGAACAGTAAGATAAAAAGCAAGTCCACGGCGTCGCCCAGCAGGCTGTCATACAGGCCCAGCTGCCGCAGGAACCAGCGGGTCTGCAGCAGGGGGTTGGTGATCTCGCTGCCAAAGATGACCCCGCAAGTCTCGCAGCCTGACACCCCCATGAACAGAGCAAGGAGGATGCCCACGATGCTCGCAGCGTGGTGTGCCAGCATGACGGGGCCCTCGGTGTGGTAGCACACACACCAGGCCATATCGAAGAAGAAGTAGCCGAGGCAGACACACAGGGAGAAGGTCTGGAGCTCAGTGTTTTCTGTTCCTGGGGGACGGATGAGACAGAGTCAGGGAAGAGGAGCATTAAAAACAAAACTTTGTGCCATAAAGCAATATTCTTTGTGTTGTAAAGCAGTTCATCTCAGACTGTGTACTGTAATTATACTAATAACCTAAAATTAAATGAGTTGGATTATTGTTGATGCTGTTGTCACAAAGACCAGATCACCTTCTGTTTTCCTCACTGTGTTCACGTCATAGCACTGACCTGCATGTGTGAAAGGCCAGGGTCCATCTATGAAGAGCACATATGCTGTCAACAGCACTATGAGGACGCCATGGGACAAAGTGACCAGCCGGCAGTTCCACTCGGGCCCCCGCTGAGTGAAGGTACAGCAGAACAACTGGTAGAGACAGAACCAGCCAATGAGGCTGCAGATCACCTCCAGTACCGGCATGGCTGTCTGTGTGGGACGATTGGATTTATGTCACCATCACAGATAATCATGTCTTCAGTCATAGGTCTGACTGAAGACATTACATTTTATTTTCTGTGTTATTTTCTTTATCATACATTATATGTCTTGTTATATTTGCCATCTTACCATATTTTCTTAGTGGAGCCTCCAAGCAAAAAGTATTTCACCCGATCATACTTGTATAACTGGAGTGACATTAATCTTATCTCTTGTTTAAGAGTCCAGTAAATCTGAATGAATTATTCTATGGTGCTCATGGTTTCAGTAAAACCTGACGATTGAATTGTGGAGAATCTAACCAAGCTCATTAAGTGTAGCATCTCCATATTAGCTATCAAACTGTAAGTTCCAGTGGGTGGTCAACAATCCGGTTTTGTACTTCCTAAGAACTTCTTCTATAAAAATGAACTGCTTGGCAACCAGACCAGGCTTCTATTTGAGACAGGCTTTTATTTGTCAAAATGTGTAGTTACACCAGGCTAATGCATTGGTGTTGTGGCATTGGTGAGGATTGCAGATTGCAACCAGCTGAAACTTCTCCCGGTTACAATTCCGAATCATCCTCAGAAGTCTCTTCCTGTCCATGACAAACAGACCAGTTGGTTTAAACTGGTAAAAACACTGAATAAACCAGTTCCACTTTAATAAGATAAGAGTTCATCCGACGCTCTTGTTGCGGAGGAATTGCCGACTATGGTGGCTGATGCGAAAACGCAGATGGCCCCGTCAAGATCAAGTGTTTGTTTCGTCTGTACTGGGCTACTGTAGAAACATGGCGGTGCAACTTGGCGGACTCGGGGGACGAGAACCCGCTTAAATGGGTCATTTTAAGGTAACTAAAACACAGTGGTTCTTATTTTCAGGTGATTATTCACTGAAGAAAAGCTACTCATTACGATATGCTCCATCTCTACTGACATATCCACCCAAATCCCACACACTGGACTAGTGGCGTAAGGTAGTTAGGATGGGCCCCAGTGCACGCTACCGTGCACATATCGTCTTGTCACATGTTCAGAGACTTGACACTGGATAACATCAACATACACATTACCCAGCAATCATCATTGCATATCTGTATATGAAAAAAAATACCATAGAAATTAAGAAATTATTAATATAGTTTAACAATTTTAATAGTTGATTTATAGAGCAGTTGATTTATAGTGATATACTAGGCATATAATTTGTCATAGATGCTATCAACTGTTTTACAAATGAAGAAATAAAATGACGAAGCTCGTGTTAGTAATTTCATGAGAGTTTTTCTTTGAACACAGGCATATTTTTAAGGTGGCAATCACTCATAAGGGCAGATTCTCCACCCAACACATTGTTGGAGGGCCCACTGTCTCTATAGGCCCCCACCTCATGGGCCCCAAAGCAACCGCACCACCTGCACTGTCTGTTCTTACGCCCCTGCCCTGGACCTTTAAATACTTAAATAAGAATAAAAGGAGTGTGTAACAGTTACAATTAGGATACCACCATTAGTGTTTTTCCACCCAAACGTTCACCCAGTGTTGCGTTAATGCTTCACTGACCTGAGTAACACTAAAAAACAGACATAACTGTCATGTGTTCACCCCGCCCTCACACACAGTAGCTTACCTTAACCCCTCCTCCTCTCAGCTGTCCCTAATATTCAGGATACGTGTAGAAAACGACTCCAGCAGTCATACGCAGCCTCGGCCTCCATCACTGTTTACGTTCCATAAAAAGGCAGAAGGCAAAGTGCCCACAGCTCAGCACATTTGGGACAGACACATGTTCACTCTGTGAAGATGACAGAAATGCCATGTGCAGGCTACTATACACAGTTAGTGGGTCCTTTATCCCTTCCCCCTGGATCTCAGACCTGATCCTCTTAAAGGATTACAGTCTCTGCAGATACCTGCTTTTAGACGGGACGGCTGATATGAGGCTGCAGCTGTTTCACACTGATGAAAAACTAAACTGAAGTTTGATCATATAACCCAGGGGACGGCAACATTTACTGTCAAAAGAGATGTTTTCAACCAAAGAGCCGTATGTGGCTCCGGAGCCGCAGGTTTCCCACCCCTGATATAACCCGACGTCTTTGCACAGACTACCAATACAAGCAAGAGCTCGTTATAAAATCCTCCTTTTGCTTTACGAGACTTCTTTTCTGGCCCAATAGCCAGAACAAAATGTATGTTTATGAGCCATGTCAGTGTTTCTAAAGTGAGGACTCAATTTATTTTTGCTAAAGTTAAAGACATTTACACTATAAATTGGTGCAGAGAATGCACAAATTGATGCATAAACAATCACAAGAATGCAGAAATCCAGTGTTTGATGCTCAAAATTTTCTGATGGAGGAACCCGTCACCTTCTGATTTCACACGTGTCCTTAAACCTAACCACACGTTAACCACAGTGTTGTTGAAATGTTAAGTTTCAGCCTGTCCGCCACATAATAATGTGCAAATGTAACGTAGTCGTGATGCAGAAATGTACACTGCCAGCTTTTTTTCTGGTTATTCCCTCCTGCACTCTCAGTCTTATGACTCCATCATGTCCTTTATGTTCTCTTAATGCTGATTATTTTACTGTTTCTAGATTTCACAAAGAATCTTTCAGGGACAGAATTATTTTCTTCCACTGATCTAGCTATTGTTACAGCTCAGCCAAGGAGGACATTATTCATGTTTACATCTCGTGTTGTTACAAGCACTTGCCTCTTATTCATGAGTAGATGCACACTTCCTTCTGCATGGTGATATGGTTAGTGGGTGTCAAACAAGGTCTGTAAATGATCTGGAGTAACTTGGTCATGATTTCTGGAGAGAAACATCACTGTTGAGTTTATCAAAGTCTTATCAGCTCACCCTTTTTTCCTCTTTAAAGCCTTGTGGGTAACCTGTGAGGGTGTGACGTGTGCTGCTTGGTGTATACGGAGGGGAGCATCTCTCTCAAGGTGTCATGGTGAAGATGGCAGACGGCAAACAGTGATGATAGTCAGTAAAAAACAAAAAAATGTTTGTTGTTCTGTGGTGAAGACTGCAGTAAAGCCATTGTTGGTGAACGGCACCTGAACGAACGCCTGTGAAGCAAAGGTTATGTGCTCACTGTACAGTCTTGCAGCATTAACCCACTTCCAGAGTCGCTCTAATCTGACACAAGAGTAGATTATTGGTCAGTCGTGGACACTTAAAGAACCTCTACTCTACTTCAAGCTCACGGTTAGTTTCATCCAAATATGGAAGTTTGTTTACAGTTTACACTGTGGTATTTGTTTATCTAAATTCTGACTGTAAGCAATCCTTTGACCCTGAAGTAGCCTTCTTGGTTTTGAGATTATTAAGAAAAATTGAGCATAGCGTTAGTTCAGGCAGGACACGATGTCAAGTTCAGCTCACACCCCAGCTACATCGGCTGATCTCAGGCAACCCAAACAACTGATGTAGCAGCTGATTGATGGAAGGGAGTCAGCTGATAGATCACATGATTCCTTTCTATGCAACCAATTAGCAAATCTCATTCAGGGCGCCCTATTTAAACTGCTCTGGCCTGCCTACTGTTGCTGCTTCCTCTGCAAGCTGCTTTGCAACCTGCCTCCACCCCAGCTCCTCCTTTTCATGTTGTGTCTGACTTATCAGTGTCATTTCTTTTTGTCAGTGATGCTGCTCTGTTCTGTTCCGGGGGGGGGGGGGGGGGTCTTTGCTGCTGCTCTCCCTGCTTTAGGTTTTCTATGTAGGCGCATGGAAGGGCAGGGAGGTGAGCTCCTCTGTGAGATCTTCTGTGTGCAAAACATCCATCCAAAAGATAAAGAATAGATCAATCCATGATAAAGTGATTATTAGTTAATAGTCCAAAATGAGCTCCACTTCAACAGACTACTACAAGATCCTACTTTTACATTAATGTTGGAGTAATAATAATCTAGATCACTTTTTGTCTACATTTACTACTTAAAGTACATTTTTCTGTTCATACTGTCAAACTATTACTCAAATAACACTTTTATTGCAGGACTTTTATTTGTGAGAGTATTTTTACAGTGTGGTATCAGCATATACACTCCGGTTCAGCGGGTGGCGCAATGCTTTTCTAATGTGAACAATGTTGACAGTCAGAGGAAATAAGAACCGTTGAAGAAGAGTAGCTGTTTCCTCTTCCCGGGTTAGCTAGGTTAGCCGAAGATAAATAAACACGCTACAATGACATTGACTTACATAATTAGCATTTCTGCTGTTTCCCGTCACTTTCTGAACATCTCAAATTAGCTCTTCATCCCTTTGAACACATCATAAAACCTCCGTAATCACAGGAAGCAAAGGTAAGTTCACACGAGCATGAGGAAAAGCGGAGAGAACACGAGGCGAAACTCCGCTCACGTTAGTAATAATTTAATATTCGCGTGAATACTATCAAAAATCTACTTGTATTAAAATATTGTAAGTTGTCTAAAACGAATGTTTATGAGCCACTTTCTCATTCGGCGTTAATTACATACATCAAACATCACATATTTTTGGATAATTTTAACCTATATTGGAGTCGTCGGTGTCAGTTTGCCTTAACGCTAACTTTAACGGTTAACTGTCACTACTGGGCCCGTCGGCGATGAAGTAGTTAAAAGGTGTCATTTAATTAAAATGTAGAGCTGCTTAACAGACCAGCATCAAGCCGAATTTACCAGTAGACATTGACCATTCTTCAAAGACATTAAAGTCTTCTAATATGTATGGCTTTATTTTCAACGTGATGAGGGTAGCATTATTTGTGCGAATAAGTGAACGAAATTTGGCACAGTTACATTTCCTCATCATCACCTAATACGCACAGTTGTACGGTTGCAGCTAATAAATCTAAAGCTTTATTTATGTCGGATCTATTTTTCAATGTTATGTTAATATTGTGTTATTATTGCTGCAGGATGCTCGCAAACATTTTTACAATTTGTTGCACACTGATTTAAGTCTATTAATGAACAACAGCTGTAATAGTATATAACAAGGACAATTATAAAGAAGTAGTAGTGCAGTTTGTTCAGATACATTTAATGTTAAATCTGAAATCCTGAAAATAATCCCTCTCCATAAAATTCTATGTTTAAAATGGGCTTCTCATGTCATTACACCCCAAACTAGTGATGTAGTGATGTCTGTCTCTTTCTGCAGGATGGCTCTTTCCTGTGTGCGACTGTGCACTCAACACATGAGCAAAGGGCTTCAAGTCTGTGGGTATGCGACACTCAATAAAGCATCCAGACCTCAGGAGAAAACCAGCAGCGGTCCAGTTTTTCAGTACGTCGGCGAGCACAAAAAGCCCAGCCACAAAGTGTTTGTGTGGGGCTTCAGTTTCACTGGTGCCCTGGGTATCCCCAGCTTTGTGGTGCCAGACAGCGGCAGGAAGAAGCCCCACAAATATCAGCTGACTCCTTACCGGCTGGAGACTGCAGAGCAGGTGATGATCAGCTCTACTGAGCTTCATGTGGAATCTTTTAAGGTTTTGGCTCTTGATAATGTCCATGTCAGTGACAAGTGTGAAGTGTAATTGAAATCAACATGTTTGATGCATATTTGGTGAAATCTTCTACTGTAGCCCAGAAGACTCGTAGGGACGTGTTAAAATATATGTATTTAAGACTGAACTCTCCTTCTAGATCTCCTCTGCTGCTTGTGGTTACGGCTTCACTCTCATTGCCTCTCCGACCAAAGATGTGATCAAACTGTGGGGCATGGGCCTGAACAAGGACTCTCAGCTGGGCTTCCAACGCACACAACACAGCCGCCGTAAGATAAAAACAAAAATACTGCTTACCACCACAAAGGAGAGCGAATATTGGATTTACATTAACCAGTTAGACAGAAGACAGCTCTATGAATGCAAGTGTTGCTCTGAGTCTGCTGGATGTGTGTGTGTGTGTGTGTGTGTGTGTGTGTGTGTGTGTGTGTGTGTGTGTGTTAAAATTCATGCTGCTTTCAGACATGTCAGAACTTTGCAGTCTCAACTTGCTTGAATGGTACTTTAAAATAAAGTAGTCCTTAAAGTTAGGGAGATTTTTTTCATGGTTACCTTAAATCAGGTTTTTCAGTGTGCCATTTTATTTGTTAAATCAGTTGACATGCCAGTGACAATAGCTGGTAATCAATGTACACTCAACAGTTTCTGGAGCTCATAAGCAGCCAAACATACTGTGTATTTCGGCTCAGGTGTCCTTAGAACAGATGGACAAAGAAAAAGCACCACCTACTGTACAAAAACACAAATCTCAACAACGGAAAGGCAAAGCAAATGTCACATCACACACTGGATTTTAGCTCCCAAAATGTTATTAACTTAAAAAAAAAGCAAAGCAACGTTTTGACTCTTTTGAGTCTTCTTCAGGGAAATTGCCAACATGACAAAGAGAGGGGCGCACCAAACTGTTACATCATGAGGACCTCGTGTGTACAGTTCATGGTAGGACATCACCACAGCCTGAAAAAAATAGCAAAAAGTCACATTAATCAACAAAAAAAGGCTGATTGTAAAAAACAGATTCCTGAAAAAGAGAGTTACAGCATGCCAAGACAATACTATACAAATTTAATAAGACTTAGGGGCCTATTTTACACCCTGCACAAAGTGCCGCACAGCACAGCACAACTGTGACTTCTACTTTCAGACCAACGCAGGTGTCATTTCCATGACCAGTACCCACATTGTGTACGGAGCAAATGCACTAGCACCCATCTGTGCGCCCATGAACATGTAGGTCTTAAAATAAGAAATTACGTGATTGCACCACTGACCAACAGAAACCTGGTCTAGAGTCAGAATGGTGCA